GCCTCGCTGTCTTCGTTAGTTGCTTCTTCGGTCGGAGATGCTTCGTAGTATTTGAGAAAGCGATTGGTGCCGGCATTTGAGTTACTTTTTACATACTCTGAAATGAAATGGGATAGCTGCTGCTAATTCATAAATGAAACTGATAGTGTTTAAATGCTGGATTTCTCTTCCGATAACTACTGAGTAGCATAGTTGGTGTTTTTTTAAGCCTGTATTTTTCATGCCTTTAAAGGTACTGAAAATCCACGCCGGCAAAATCACGAAACACGGGGATATTGATTACGAAGCTATTGTCAAATTGTCCGATGGATTCTCCGGTGCGGACCTAAGAAATGTGTGCACCGAAGCAGGTTTGTTTTTTTTTTTTGTGACGAATTATTTATTGAGTACCAGTTAGGGATCCAGCGAAAACATTAATATTTACATCCGTTCATGTATTTCTTTGCAGGCTTATATGCCATTCGTGCGGAAAGAGAATATGTTATCGAGGAGGATTTCATGAAAGCAGTGCGCAAAGTGAGCGATGCAAAGAGATTAGAGACCAAACTCGATTATAAACCTGTCTGATGATAAGTGTCAACTGTGATACTAGTCTTTGCTAAAACGCTAAATTTTTTTTTCCACTGAATGCTGCAGCGCTGTCTGAATGGAACGGAGGGGACTTTTGTTTATTGATGAAACAACGCCTTATTTCTCATTTTCTCGTGAGTTTTTCGCTAAATACCATCAGTAGAACATAGAATAATTTCCAATTTTCTTGGGTAGCTTTTAATGACATACGGAGAAAGAGGAGGGGAAAATACGAACTTTGCAGGTGCAGAGTGGTATTTTTCCAAAAACCTTCGCCATTGTTGAGGGGTAATTTTTTGAAGGAGCTGCTGGTGGATAGGGAATGGGACAGGGAGAAAGGGGAGGGGAAGATTTTTTGACGCAGTGGGTGCAGAAGAAACATTGAGAGACTTTAATTTGTCTCTTTTTCACTGAGGGCTGCGTTTTTTTTTTTTTTTTTT